CCACATGGTTCGGCGTTTGGCCGGGTGATTGAGACCTTTTACGTTTAGTGATAAGAACTAAAGTCCCCATTTTGCATACAGAGTCTACTGGGGTGTGGTGATCTTGTTAGGAGCCAGAAGATATTTAAGCCATGCGTGCAGGGTATAGAGTGGATCAATAGTAAGAGCAGTATTACATAGACATGCTTGTGTTGCCAATTGAGCAAACTGGTTATGAACCAAGGGGTAAAGTAGGGAAACAGTTCCAACAAAATGTTAACAGCGCTTGCAAAACTTGTAGAGCAAGATAAAAAGGTGAGACCTCCTTTGTCTAAGGATGGTCTCGGGCATAATAGCATGCCACACATAATTGGGGTGAATAGGGGAATTTATAAAATAAATTCCTACCCCACTGGGAGTAAAACATGGTGCCTGAATATGGAGGGTATAGGCAGAGCTCGCCTTAGGTGTTTGGAACAGATTGCTTTGTGTGAATATTTCTCCATTCTTGGACAGATCTGGATACCTGTGGAGATCGGGAATCAGAGGAAGATAATTCCGGGATAATGTTGCAACGTAATAGGAGGGTAAGCCCTTCTTCCAGAGAGGATGCATATGAGGTAGAGCCATTATGGGATATTTCCAGCTTGGCCGGGTACTTCCACTTATATGGGATTTTGTGGTTCCTCAGAGCCTTTGTGATTGAGTTGATGTTCTTGCGTCTCTGAAGAGTGTATTGGGAGAGGTCCGTTGGAAGTTGGAGATTTAAAGCTTGTTCTGGCAAGGTATTCAGATGCCGAGATGCAGCCAGGAGTTGTTCTTTCACCTGGAAAAAGGGAATCCAAAATATGACATCTCTGGGAGTGTCTTTTGGAAGGAAAGAGGGTTTGGGGATTCAGTGGATCCTATCAATTGTGGAATCTGTAGAAGTAAGTGATGGAATTACAGATAGGAACAAGTCACGTACAAAAGGTAGGCAGTTGAAAGTTTTGTACAGATTCGAGAATTTCCCTGATGTTTAAGATGTTCCTTCGGGATCTGTCTTTGAGATCTGCTAATTGTTCTTTAATCCAGATGTCTTCGGCCTGAGCAGTGTGGGTGTCTACCAGGGTATTGTAGTTGTCAGTAAAGTCGCACATAGAGCATTCTACATGGTCTACCCTCTCTCCCAGTTCTTGCAATTCAAGGTTGAACTGTTTCATACAAGCTAGCAAATCCGTTTGGAGTGATGCTCTGAGTGGTAGAAGCACATCTTTCATCATAGTATCAGATACTGGTTGCCTACTGGTAAGGAACAGTGAGGCTGGATCGTTTTGGGGTGCAGTAAATGTAATGTTAGAATCAGACTGGACCTCAGTAACCATGTCATTGTCCTGCTCTTCAGGGGGCTCTTTTCAGGGTTTTGATTTCACAAGGCTTTGGAACATGAGTGTAGCAGGGCAGGATTCCAGGGGGATCGCTGGATGTCGCTGCTGTTTTTGTGTCTGTGGATCTCTGGAGAGTCGCCTCTAGAGGTTCAGTGGCGGACCGAGATGAATGGAGACCACTGCCATTTTGTTGTAGCCACCTATTCATCAGTGGGAAGAAACCTGAGAGTTTCCGGGGACGAGGTTGTTCCCTTTTGCATCGGGGCATTGTGCGGGGTGTCAGGGACCCGTGGAGCCAAGTGGCAGCGGTGATGAAGTGCGGGCAGCTCTGCCAAGGTCGATGTTCCCGGCGGGTGTGAGGAGCTCAGAGCTCAAGCGTCCATCTTGCCGGATGGTGGCCTTGGCCCCCATCCCCTGCAGATTTTGTAAGTTTGCCCATTTACAAAGAAATGTAGGGTCTTTAATTTTTATCATAGGTGTATTTTAACCACTTGCCTACTGGGCACTTATGCCCCCTTCTTTACCAGGCCAATTTTCAGCTTTCAGCGCTGTCACATTTTGATTGACAATTGCGCGGTCATGTAAGATTATGAAATTTTTATCATTTTGTTCTCACAAATAGAGCTTTCTTTTGGTGGTATTTAATCGCTGCTGGGCACTTTAGTTTTTGCGCTATAAACAAAAAAAGTGCAAAACAATTTGAAAAAAAAGTTTCTTTGTTTCTATTATAAAATTTTTCAAAACAGGTAATTTTTCTCTTTCACTGATGTGCGTTGATGAGGCAGCACAGATGGACACTGACAGGCAGCACTGATGGGCAACACTAATGAGGTGGCATGGATAGGCGGCACTGATAGATGGCACTGCTAGGCATTGACTGGCGCAACTGCTGGGACTGACTGGCACAACCGCTGGGCACTGACTGGTGGCACTGACTGGCAGCACTGCTGGGCTGCACTGCTGGGCACAGGTGGGTGGCACTGCTGGGCACAGGTGGGTGGCACTGCTGGGCACAGGAGGACGCACTGCTGGGCACCGATGTGTGGCACTGCTGGGCACCGATCATCAGGACACTGATCATCAGTGCCCTGATGATTGGTGCCGATCCCTGCTCTGACAACTGCCGGTTCTCGGCAGTACTTTCCTCACACTCTGACAGCGTGAGGAAAGTGCAGCCGAGAACCGGCAATTGCATTTCCCGGTGATTAGCATGTCATTGGACACGGCTGATCACGTGGTAAAAGGCCGCTGTGATTGGCCTTTTACCACATCATGTGATCAGCTGTGTCCGTAGGACACAGCGATCATGGAGATCGCCGGGTGCGTGCCCCCGGGGGCGCGTAGGAGAGCGTGTTCTGTGAGGATGTCATATGACGCCCTCCCAGAACTGGCCGGCCGCAGTGTAGCCGTCATTCGGCTATCTGCAGTTGGCAAGTAGTTAAAATAATAGAGAACCAAAATCCAGGAAAAACACGATACAAATGTTATAAATTGAGTTGCAGTTCAGTGAGTAAAATAAGTATTTGATCCCCAAGCAAAACATTATTATTATTATTATTATTATTATTATTATTATTATTAAAAAGTATTTATATAGCGCCAATAGTTTGCTTAGCGCTGTACATTATAGACTTTTTACATGACTTCGTACTTGGTGGAGAAACCCCTGTTGGCAAGCACGGAGGTAAGATGTTTCTTGTAGTTGGTTACCAGGTTTGCGCACAGCTCAGGAGGGATTTTGGTCCACTCTTCTTTACAGGTCTTCTCTAAATACTTAAGGTTTCTTGTCTGTTGCTTGGCAACTCGAAGTTTCAGCTCCTTCCATACATTTTTTTTTATAGAATTAAGGTCTGGAGACTGGCTAGGCCACTCCAGGATCTTAACCTGCTTCTTCTTGAGCCACTCCTTTGTTGCCTTGGCGGTATGTTTTGGGTTATTATCATGCTGGAAGACCCATCCACAACCCATCTTCAGTGTTCTGGCTGAGGGAAGAAGGTTCTCATCCAAGATTTTACAATACATGGCCCTGTCCATTGGTCCCTCAATGCGGCAAAGTCAGCCTTTACCTTTAGCAGGGAAACAGCCTCAAAGCATACTGTTTCCACCTCTGTGCTTGACTGTAGGGACGGTGTTCTTAGGGTCATAGTCAGCAATTTTCTTCCTCCAATTATGGTGAGTCGAGTTATTGCCAAAGAGCTCAATTTTGGTCTCATCTGACCACAGCACATTCTCCCAATCCTTCCCTGAATCATTTAGATGTTCATTGGCAAGCTTCATATGGGCCTGTACATGTGCCTTTTTAAGGGGGGACCTTGTGGGCACTGCAGAATTTCCATCCATGGTGGCGTATTGAGTTACCAATGGTTTGTTTGGCGACTGTGGTCCCAACTGCCTTGAAATCATTCGCAAGCTCCTCCTGTGTAGTTCTGGGCTGATCCCTCACTTTTCTCATGATCATCCTTACCCCATGAGGAGAAACACTGCATGGAGATCCTGAGGGTGATTGATGGTTATTTTGTATTTTTTCCATTTGCGAATAATCACTCCAAGAGTTGTCTCCTTCTCACCAAGCTTCTTGCTAATGGTCTTGTAGCCCATTCCAGTCTTGTGCAGGTCTACAATCTTGTCCTGGATGTCATGTGACAGCTCTTTGGTCTTGCTCTTGGTGGTGCCCAAGAAAAAAAGATTCTGTGGACAGGTGTCTTTTATACACATAACAAGTTGTCATTAGGAGCACCTTCTTAAATTGACAGGACTAATCTGTGTACCACATGAGCACATAGCCAGTCTATGGGAGCCAGAATTATTGTTGGTTGGGAGGGGATCAAATACTTATTTTACTCACTGAACTGCAACTCAATTTATAACATTTGTATCATGTGTTTTTTCGGAATGTTTGGTTGGTATTCTGTCTCTAATTTTTATCATAGGTGTTTGTTTCTTTGTAAGTGGGCAAATTTACAAAATCTGCAGGGGATCAAATAATTATTTTCCTCACTGTATTTATGTAATTAGGGTGTTTATTATTATTTATTTTTTTTTTTTTCAGTATTAGTGGGTTAATTATTATTTTACATAATCATTTAATTTATTCAACATTTATTAATGATTATTTTATTTCTTTGTGTACTTATCTTATTTAACATTTATTTATTAATTTTATTTTTTTTTTCCATTTGAGCAGAAAAACACACAAAAATGTGTGAATTGCGCAGTTTCATTCACTTCTATAGAATCAAAAATGTGCAAATCTGCCTGATTTTAGCAACAAAAAAAGCTCCAAAACTTGTTAGAGCTTCAGGCGTTTGGCTTCAGGCGACTGAGTGGAGATGTGAAACATCTCCATTGAGAAAAATTGATAATTTTTTCCCCTCAAGCGTTTTGGAGCTTTGAGCTAAAAATCGCTCCGGTGTTAAAAGGGGCAAAAAGGAAAATTGGACGTGAGGTTTTCCAGCTTCAGAAAGAAACACTGCAGGAGACAGTGATGGACAAAACAGGAGTATTACAGCCAGGGTGGATGTTTTTGTTTTCTGATGTTGCTGGTGGACTTGGTGAAAAAACAAATAACAGAGTTAGGCTTTAATGACTGCTGTAGGCAAAACCTCATACTGTCTCGTTTTTTTTTTTTTCTTTAATTCACAAATCCCTTCTATGTCAATAATCCATTACAGCAATACCTTTCCATTCATCAATAGTGCGCTCCTTATTCTCTGTAGATTCGTCATAAGGCTCAGCCTCGGGCTCATCTTCTGGATCATGATACTGTTCAAAGTAAGGGTGTGCAAGGGCTTCGGATGCTGTGATTCGCTTGTCACTATCCAGAATGAGCATCCTCTTCAGCAGATCAATGGCTTTAAAATAAAACACCACAATGTTTGAAACAACTTTTGTAAAATCAATAGCAAATTCAAATCAAAACATCCATAAAGCCAACCATCAATACATGGTAAAACATGCACAGCACTATTTTTAAAGGATTTTGTGCTGACATAAACAGTTTTAGTTTAAACCTTGTTTTACAGAGCTTTATAATGTAGGGTCACACAATATGAAACACTGTCTATCCTATGACTATTGTATAACTGGGGATATTACATATGCGAGGATACAGATTTTACTTTAACACCATCTAAGATGTGCTTCTGTACCTTTTCAACTTCTAGCAGCAGCCAAACAGGCTGCCTGGTTTGAAGGACCTCAAATCACCAAGCTGCAGTAATCCTTAACCAATGATAAGTCTAGCATAGGCATACTTTGGCTTGTCAAGATAAATTCAGTACAAAGGTCAGTCACAAATCAGATCCCCAAAACATTTGCTAAAGAGATAAGCTCTGACTTCTGTACAGCAGGCCCAAGTGTTTGCACATTTACAAAACAAGGCAGAAATAGCAGTATATATTTATATTCTCATATATGTATACTATTTTGATCAGTATTCAAACTGTTAGAGGCTAGGTTCACATATACGTGGGTGGAGGAATGTGTGTAAATCGCATGCATTCCTATACTCGCAGGCACCTACAGGAAAACACGTGGGCGTGCCATTAATTCTTAAGGACACCCCTGCACACCTAAAAATGCAGTTTTTTGTGGGTGCAGGAAATCGTGTGGTGCAAAAGCATCATGCAATTTTTGTGCAGCTGCAATTTTAAAAATGTGCAGGGACCATTTTCCCTGCGTTTCCTGGAGGTACAGCAGGCCATTCAAATGAATGTGCTGCTGTGCCCATGCAAACGCAAATCACACCAATTGCATAGGTGTGAACTTAGCCTAAAAGAAGATCTGTAGTGCATTATCCACGGGATAAATCAGCAGCTGGTGATTTCCAAGAATTTAGCTCTCTTTAGGAAAATCGATTGTTTAAGGATGAATCCCACCCTTTGAAGACATGAATTGAAAAGGTCTCTAATGTAATCAAGGTGTCTGTAAGGGAACTCTTTACATTTAGTATCCTGACTTACCTAGAGGGTTGGCACCACAAAACACCTCGTTTAAATCCTGTTGTGGCATGTATGGCAAAGATTCAATATACCGTCTAGCCTGGTAACAAAACAGGTTATTACTAATCGCACAAAGGTGACCATAAACAGATACTAAGTAAAGTTAAGTAAACAATTCACCACTAACTGTGCATATTGTCCAGTATATATTACTTACATGCTCGGATGAAATTTTCATAAGAAACTCAGAATTAGGTGTTCCAACAACTTCCATTATCCTTTTTAACTGGTCGATATCTGTGATCATTTAGGAAAATGAATACGCAATTTTGCAGCAGAATATTTAGTAAACCATGGCCCATGAAAATTGATAGTAGGATGTGTATTTTAAATGAAATGATTTATTTATGATGCCGTTTGATTCTGAATACATAAGTACTAGTGAAGGATACAGTCATTTCCTGGAAAAAGAGCTTTCCCTTTCAAAAGCTCTGCCATAATACATCCAACTGACCAAATATCAACTGAAAAAAAAAGGTTAACATAGTTGTGAACATACACTAATAGTAAAAGTAATAAACATTTTCTAGTACAGTTATAATTATGCAGGCACCATAGCTGCTAGCTGCTTTTGCTTTTTAATAGGTTCTGTTGTGAAGCATCTCTTCTTCCCAACAGTGGGGTTACAGGACGCTGTGCAGACACACAGTATAAACGCAAGTGAAGTGACCCTGCAGCTTACGCATATATTTGCACATGTGCAGAAACTAAACCCCTGGTTTTAATGTGAACTGTTAGACAGGACAATTTGGTTTGTTGTAGGCTGGTTGGTAAGTGAGCTGGTGTTTGGCTTTGATGTCTAGTAAAGGTTAATTTGTGTTATAAGCAAGGAAATAGACATGCGTCACCCTTCCATGTGCTCCTTGCTGCAAAAAACCACTTACAGGTTGGGGTGGTTGCCTTTTGTTTGTACTGTTGGTTAATTGGTGTGGGGGACGCACTGCATGGCTTTGCTGCCATTGTGCTATTGCTGGGGGTCCAGTGCATCCCTATACCTTTGGAGGAGGGGTGGGCTTCCTCCAGGCATGCCTGCCCTTAATCTATCCATTAATATATATGTGCTCCAACTTTGGACTCTCAAAATGTATAGAGTTAGGACTGCAGCACACTAGGATGCCATGAAGTGGCTGTACATCTTACGCATACATTTGCAAACGTGAGCAAACTAAACCCCTGGTTTTATTGTGAACTGTTAAGACAATTTGGTTTGTTGCAGACTGGCTGGTAAGTGAGCAGGGAAATTTTCTTTGTTGTTTTTTGACAGACACACAGTGTACCTGTATTCCATTGTCTGTTCAGCCAGAGGCTGTGCAGGAGCAGGGAGCATGTTCAAAAGGCAGGCTGTGATTGGTCATGGGGTATGATGGATGAACCTACCTACCTACTAAAGGCATGCTGTGTGTCTGCACAGTGTCCTCTACCTCTGAATGGCCAACCAAAGGATGAAAACAGTATATGTTCACACAGACCAGCTTCTGTGCTTTGTGTGGTCAGTATAGAAGAAGGTAGAAAGGTGGCTCGCAGGATCAACCAGGTACTTCAGATGAAAGAAGTACATGAAAATGATAGAGATTAAGATTTACAAAATACACATATGTGAACATACACACAGGAAAAAATAATATTTAACTTAACACACACTTTAAAGGGCTTTACTTAACTTCTAAAGTTAAACCATATTAATGCCATTAGTTAACTAACATAGGAAATGTATTATTTAATTACAAAACAGAACAAATGTTCCATGTGCCCTTGGTTTTAAGTTGCCTAAAAAAGCAAGACCCAGGAGGCCTGGCTAAAAACGATTTGCTTCTGAATGTAGGTATCTATAGCCAAAAGGGGGATTGATTGAAAGTCACAGGAAATTTCTCAGCATACTCAAAATGTTCTCAAACCGGACCCCTGACTCAACAGCTCACAAGGAGCACTGAAATCTAGTAAACAACCTGTGAATACTACACAAAGCAAGCCTATTGGTGGTACTTTTGTTTAGCCTAGTGCTCATCCCAAACCCAGATGTATAGCAATTATGATTGATGGTTCACAAAGGGGGGTAAAAGAGGCCAGCTATCTCAAACTGGAACATCCATCCCTGAACATGGGTGGAGGCCTTCAACACCATCTGTCTTCCACATATAATTCTATTTTATCTTCTATACTCAGGCAATTTGACAATAGTTCACACCTTCAGCCAAGTAAATTGAAAGGACTGACACCTACGCAGAGTTCCTGACACCAAGAATGGAATTCTGTAACTAGAACAGGGTGGTTCTATAACTGTCACAGCTTCCATCCTGCTCTTGGACAATCAAAATCTGCTTTGACACATTCCATGGTGATTGGATTAAGGGGTATAGGCTGCCTGTGTGGATATAAATGCTAGGGTATGTTCCTGACACTCATTGGGACTAAAGAAGTGGCTTGAATAAGCTGTGAAATGTCTTTAAAAACTGAATGTGACTACTACTAGCTATGCCATTATTTGGAGTTTTCTGAGAATATCCTGCACCAGTATGATTAGAGTTATGTAAAACAGAACTAGTACAAATGATCCCCTGAGCATCATTTAGTTACCTGTCTGGTTATAGTGCATCCAGTTTAACATGATCTCCGGAGCTCTGTACCACCTGGTTGCTACATAACCAGTCATTTCATCATCTGTCTGTCGTGCCAGCCCAAAATCTAAAATCTCCAGAAAAAAATGAAACCATAAGACAGCGATCTGACACAGTTGGTTTTATGCTACTCAATTTGAGCATCTTTAAAAGGAATATAAAGGGATGACTCTTACCCTTAATTCACAATCTTCATTTACTGCTAAATTGCTGGGTTTTAAGTCCTACAGTACAATAATAGGAATTAAGTATTTAGAACAGGAAATCCGTTCTAGTCACACAAAAAAACAAAATTCCATGCATGCATTTCTTTTTACAAAACTTGTAAAGTGAATATCCTGATGACGGGTTGATTTCCATTGAGATAATCTGTTATAGCTGGGTTCCCAGTGATAAGGCCATGATTATAAAGTGTCCTGATTCGAGTATTTTAACCAACCTCAGAATGTCATTTGTCCAGTGCACAATGGAAACTATAATGGGATATCTCAGCTGCTGACAGCTAGAAAACAATTTCACACAAGTGAGGCTGTGTTTGTCTATTTAGAAACAGTGCTATGTGAAGTAGGATAACAGTCTCTTTTATTTTTAGTTTGTTGCCCAAAATTCATTCAAGTGCCAAGCCTAAATAATGCTAGTCAATGTAGTTTGAACTGGTGTCAAAACAGAGGACCTTTGCTAGTTTGGAAGTAAAGCAGAAACTTCCTGACCAGAATTTATGGATGCTATTATTATATGAGTTGACAGACCAAGCAGTGTAATAAAAAACAGTTCCACCAGTAAAAAACATCACAGGAGTAACAAGGTCCTGGTAGCCAAGTTTATCATAACCTATTTTAAACTATATTGGAAAACAGATTCATGCAAACAGTTGTTTGCTATGAGCACAACCATTGCTTTATTTTGCACAAACAAAAAAGCCTCAGGCTGTTAGCATAATTGGACATGTGAGCTCCCAGCTGGCTTCAACAATATATCCACCCAGCTTTCATTCTTTCATCTTTCTAATGTTAGAAAATGAAAGCATGCAAAAGAAAAGTGGAGTGGGAGTAAATTTTAGAGCACTGCCTCCCAGAATGAATCTTTAATAGTACTTCTTCCTCACAGAAGAGACTTTTTTTTTTTAATATATTGGTGATACGTGGGAGGGCTTTGTTTCATTATTGAAGGGCTTATGTTTTGCACTAAAAAAAAAAAAAGAACAGGTTAGCAGACCTGTGGATGCCCCAGTGAGATCACCTGGTGAGGAAAGCAACATCATACCCCCCCCCAATCATCCTTCCCCATCAAATTATTCACACCCCACTTCGCTGGTATGAACAGGTCTGGTGCCTGTCAGCACTGGGTTCAAATTTGGAAAATGTGGCCCTATTTTTAAGACCCTTTGTTTAGCTACCCTCCAGTGCCATATGGCATACAAGCTCGCAAAATTAAAACCGCAGCTGTGAACTGGCCTAACCTGTGTAAGGGCCAGTTCACACTACATGCCTTTTAGTTACTTTTTTTTCTTCATCCAAAAATGCACAGAAAGTAGGTTCTATGGTGCTTGCAGTTCCAGTGCATTCCGGTTGCAGAAAAAAAAAAAAAAAAGTAGAACATGCTGCATTTTTTCAGCACAGAACTGTACTGGAACAAGGTAAAACGTATCAAAAACCCACCGGAACACACCAAAAATGCACTGGACTGCACGTCACTATTTAAATTGAAGAAAAAGAAGGGGAAAAGTGAACTTGAATGCATGAAAAAACATTGGAACGTGTCAAAAACGCACCAGTACGTGCCAAAAATGCACCAGAACGTGCCACAGACGCACCAGAATGTGCTAAAAAATGCATCTGGACTGCGTTTCTATAGTGTGAACCAGCCCTAAAACACTAATGAGAAATTCCACGTATGGATTTTTATTACATAGTTACAATGGTCCAGCTTGAACCAAAGTAAATATGTATATACCAGACCTGGCTGATGACCCTGGAAATCACCGAAGTAGACATCGCTATTCTAGTGATCTTCATTTTCTTCAATGGTCTCATTCTAAGACTTGCCCTGCAGCATTCTGAACAGAGGGGGTTGGCTGCTTGGAACAGGCTTCATTCATAGAATGCTTTGCATTTTTTGAATGAATACAAAATTTTCTGTAATAGACTGGGTTTGTAACATCGCCCTGCCTCTCCAACTCATCCAGTCAGAGAATGTTCTGCATTCATTTAGAAAATGAACCAGCATATTTTGAATGGCGCTCATGCTGAGTGGCCAATCTCCTGTGGTCAGAATGCAAGAGGTCACTCGCTCAGCACGGTACATGGAAGTAAGTGGATAAAACTAGAGTAGTGGTGTCTACTTCAGTGAATTCCAGCTTCCAGGGGCATTGCCTAGGTATTGTATATACAGCGCATTCATAAAGCATTCAGATACCCTTCACTTTTTTTAAATTTTGTTGTAGCCTGATACTACAGTTGTTTAATTAATTTTTGTCTCAAGCTACACTCAGAACCCCATAATGACAACAGTGAAAACAGAATTGTAGAGAAATGTTTGCAAATGTATGAAAAAGGAAAAATTTAAATATTACATTGGCATATGTATTCAGACACTTTGCAACAACATTTGAAATTTAACTCAGGTGTCTCCCATTTCTGTTAATCGTTGCTGAGATGTCTATACACCTTGATTGGAGTACACCTGTGATAAATTAAACTGAATGGACATGATTTGGAAAAACACACATCTCTCTATAAAAGGACTCACAGCTGACAATGCATATCATATCAGAGCAAAATCCAGGATTATTGCAAGTCATAGATCTGGGGAAGGGTACAAAAATTCTGCTGAACTGAAGGTTCCCAAAAGTACAGTGGCCTCCTTAATTCTCAAATGGAAGAAATTTGCCACAACCAGGACTTCCAAGAACTGGTCGCCCAGCCAATTGAGCAATCGGAAGAGAAGGTCCTTAGTAAGACAGGCGACAAAGAACCTGATGGTCACTCTGACTGAGATCCAGAGATCATGTGTGGAGAAGGGACAAAGTTCCAGAAGGACAACCATCACTGCAGGCCTCCACTGATCTGGGCTTTATGGCAGAGTGGCTAGGCAAAAGCCTCTCCTCAGTGCAAAGCACATGAAAGCCCACGCTTGGAGTTTGCAAAAAAGCACTTGAAAGACTCTCAGACTGTGAGTAACAAAATTCTTGTCTGATGAAACCAAGATTGAACTGTTTGTCCTCCATTCTAAATGTTATGTCAGGAGGAAACCAGACACTGCTTATCACCTGCCCAATACATCCCAACAGTGAAGCATGGTGGTGGCAGCATCATGTTGTGGGATTTTATTTAGTAGCAGGGACTGGGAGACTGGTCAGGGTTGAGGGAAAGCTGAATGGAGCAAAGTACAGAGAGCTTCAGACGTCAGACTAGGCTGAAGGTTCACTTTTCATCGCGATAATGATCTTAAAAACACTGCCAAGACAACACAGGAGTGGCTTAAGGACAACACTGTGAATGTCCTAGAGTGGCCCAGCCAGAGTCCTGACTTGAACGCTATTGAAAACCTGAAAATGGCTGTCTACCGACGGTCCCCATCCAACCTGACTGAGCTTGAGAGGATTTGCAAAGAAGAATTGCAGAAAATCCCCCAATCCTGGTGTGCAAAGCTTGTCAAGTCATACCCAGAAAGACTCAAAGCTGTAATTGCTTTCTGTTTTCACTTTGACATTATGGGGTGCGGAATGTAGATTAATAGAAAAAAAAAGATTAATATAAACAACTGTAGTATCAGGCTGCAACATAACAAAATGTAAAAAAGAGTGAAGAGGGTCTGAATACTTTATGAATGCATTGTAAATAGTTACACTGGTTCAGGCTGGACCAATGTAACTATTTATAAAATAGCTGGAATTTCTCTTTAAATGTGCTAAATTAATGATTTGAGGAACATGACTGGTGGCTGGAAATAAACAATAGAAAGAGAAGTTTGAAAGCTGTTGTTTTTGATACTTACTCTGTGAATGATCCCCGCTGAATGGATATACTGTGGAAATCAAATGTATAGCTTTTAAATTATTAAGCATTTCAGTTCTAAAAACATAATCAAAAATAAAAGTTTCTTAAAATGTACTTCCTTGATTTCATGTCCCAGGCTTAAATGTCAATCTGTTTACTGTTGGTGATCTACTTAAATCCATATGGAATAGATATGCATGTCCTTTACAGAATTCTCCACAGGAATATATGCAGAACACAACCTATGACCAGTGTGAACACGCAACTAAACTTTTCTGGTTTACTGGTCTCTCTGAGGGTCACCGTAAAGCCAAAAGCAGATCTTCCCATCAAGCTCCTAAATAGCAGAATGGGCAGACAGTGTAGCTACATGCTACAATAGAACTGCACATTAAGGTAACACTACAGCTTCAATAACATCTAAGCATCTTATAAAAACATAACAATGACTATTCATATTCATTGCAGAACACAACAGATGTGGTTGATATGTAAAAGGCATGCATATTCTATGGTTTGGTTGGCAAAGATTTAACTACATATAATCTTGAATGGAAATTTTACTCCTAAAACTAATAAATACGATGCTTATTGCCTTCACAGCAATCTGATAAGAGTGTGAGGATGATATACTGTATTAAAGAAAACCTGTATTTTGCTCATGCTTTACATCTTCCCTTTCAAGCAGCACATATGCATCTTATTTTTTCCTCTGTATTTTCTTTACATACCAGGAATGAGGAAAAAACTTCTGGGTACAAAGAAACATGTGATTTACTCTATGTGTCAGTGATGGTCTTTGGTCATTTGTTAATTGATGGAACATGGAAGTGGGAAGATTCCAGAGTGAATGCTCTCACAGGATCAAATCTAACACAGGGTTGTCTTTATTCACTCTTGGTGGCTGAATAGTGTGGAAGGGGTATGAAAGAAGGGGAAGAGAACAGAAATATATGCTGCTGTTGAGGAAGAATTAAAGAGAACATGTCTGTATGCTCTGCATGGGCACAGCTCAAGTTCACTTCAATTTTATCCAAATAATTGTGACATCATAAAGTTGGACAGTACCATCCTTCCCTGCTCTGGTGGGCTCCAAAGCAACAGCAGATTTTGCTGTGACTACAAATAATACTGACAAGCTATGTAATAAACATAGGACGGTATTTGGAAATAAGACACTGCCACCCAGTGACACAGCTATAGTCTTCACAATTAAAGCTGACAGAATCGCTAAGTTCCAGATAAGACACCTTTTTTTTTCCCTTTTTATTACACAAAGATAATGCCAATGGAGCAGTAATGTTTTCAGCATAAAGTCAAGAAACAAAACATACTGAGTGATAGAAACACACTGCACAAAGACAGGCTCACTGCTGCATGTGCTGCTCCTTAGCAGCCCTTTGTACAGGACTCTTAGTTTACATCCTCTATTTTCAGCAGGTAAAAAAAGCGAAGTGAGGCCACAGACTAGCAGAATACTGCATTTTGCACAGTCTCAGTCTTGTGGTCTGCCACAGTAAGAATAGTCTGAGTGTTTGCTGCATGCTTACATCGTCCAGGCCCTGGGCACAGAGAATGATGGGCAGCTAGCAATGTAAACTTCCAGAAAAGCAGCTATGAGTAAACACTGTTTTTCCCTAGTCGGTGCCTACAAGCAGGTAGTGTCTTCTTTTAAGCCGACCATACATGGATATCAATTGGACCGGTTCAGCAGGGACTGGACAAATTTCAATCTATGTGTGGGCAGGCTGATTGTACCCAAGTCGAACCATCTATCGACTTGGGTACATCCAGCCTGCTGGATTTTTCTGCATGCGATCACTTCCAGCAGCTATAGCTGCTAGCAGTAGTCATTGTATCCTGCCAGCCGGGAAGGCTTTCTGCACCCCCTCGCTGGCAAAATACAATAGCGCTTAGGGAGGGATTCCCCAGTCAACACCTGTGGTGGAAGGAAAGAAAATCAATTAATCTATGGCTTGCCTTGGTCAAGAGGCTCTTTACAATAAATATACACTGAAATAAGTATTGTGTCAAATACCTTGAGGCCCCGAAGCAGCTGATATATTAGGAATTGGATATGGTCATCTGTCAGCTTTTGGCACTTTACAATATTATTCAGGTCTGCACCCATCAGATTGGTTACTAGGTACCTGCAAATCATAAGAAGTACAGTTATGGTGCTTTACTATTAGTGCTTGAACACAATACATGATGTATGTGCACAGGGCTGCAGGTTTCTTCTGTGCCATAATATACAAGTAGTTAATCAGTGCCACAGAGCTCCTCTTTGTGAAAACACTGGACAACAAATTTTCTCAAAAGTTTTGCTTCCTGAAGGACCCCTTCAAACTGAACAAAAGTATAGCTTCAGAATGACTGTGTCATGTAGGGATCTTGAGAAATATGAAATTAACTTTTAATGACTTTTATAATGTACCTAATCACATAATGTTTCTGAGAAGCTGCAGGAATTCAACATGGCTACAAGTGTTTGGGCTCGTTCACACTTGACTGTTTTACCAACTCTTGCCAAACACCCCTATAGCGTTTGGCAAGCGTTGGTCCGGCGTTTGTGGAGCGTTTTTTAATGCTCGGCAAACGCTCCACAAACGCTGCATGCATGGTTCAGAGGCAGTTGCTAGGCGTTTGCCGAGAGTTAAAAACGCCCCACAAATGCCTATAATGAAGTTTGGATGGTGTTACCACTCTGCAAACGCCCCGCAACTGCACCGCAAACGCCGGCCGGGCGTTTGCGGAGCTGCACCATAGACTAGAATAGGAGACTTCAACGCCTCCTGACTCGACCAGAGGCGTCAGTTTTGCCGCACCGTGACGCGTCGTTACCACTCCCGTTAGAACAGCACCATGTGCTGCAATGGGTAGAATTGTCCGAGGCGTTTGGGAAGCGGTAAAAACGCTTCCCAAACGCCTTTCTGCCGCTTGAAAACAAGGCTAGTGTGAACCTAGCCTTTTGCTGTTGATTTTCCTTTGTACTCAGTGTCTTTGTGAAACTTTTCACCATGTTCGTTACTGACTGCATCTAGATGTTCAGTCCAAGTGTGAATACAGAAAATGATTAATGCTATACAGTTTTCTAATAGAAATTACTCAGATGTGTACGAGAGTAGCTGCTAATTATACAATCTTTTATCTCCCTAAAGCAGGGACATAAATGTTAACCAATGCCATATATTTTATGCCATATTTTGTTTTATAGCTACAATACACCTCCCTCTCTTTACCAAGGTGTCCAAAATACTTCTTATGTGAACATACACAAAGTGTTCCCTTTATGCCAAACTATTATGTTAACACTTTGGTACTACAAAACACCTCCCTCTTTCCTGCGTTTGTATTGTATTAAACACTTTCCCTAATTTGTGTATGTGAAAAATATCAGAATATAACTTATATTTAACTAAATAAACAAATTGTATGATCCTACATTGCAATAAATTACTTTTCCATCAAGTGCTTTCAATAGTGCAATCCTTACACAAAGTGCTTTAAGTCTCTTAAACCAGTGCAGTTCGTCACACTAAGTACTCCAAACAAAGTGCCATTTCTCCCAAATCTAGTGACATTCGAGCTCCCCTCTCTTTGGTCCCCACTCACAGAAGTTCCAGGACCCCTTATTACAAAGTAGATCACTAGCGCTTTGTTATCCACCACTCTCCTCCAGGTGTATGTACTCTGCCAGTGCTGGGTTTCTATCCACTCCTTACGCCTCCATACCACCAGACAATATAGAAGAAACCATAGAGCAATCTCCCATAATTATACTGTTTATTAAAAGGTACTCTTACAAATAAAATCACACTTACAAAATGTAGACTTGCATGCAACTGCAAGTAACAGTGCTTAGTTTGTGTGTCCGCGACGCTCCTGCATTCCACGGACTGGACACGAGGAACTGAAAGTGACCCAGAACGCAAGAGCGTCCCGTACACACAAACTAAGCTTTGTTGCTTGCAACTGCATGCAAGTCTACATATTTTGTGTGATTTAAATTGTAAGAGTACCTTTTAAAAAACAGTATAACGGAGAACTAGGGACAAAACATTTTTAAAATTTTAGATAAAATAAGGGAGGGTTTTAACTCCTGTCAGTACTTTTTTGCCATCTGTGTCTAACTGGGGAGATTTCCCTTCACTTAATGTCCCATAGCCAAAACAGGAAGTGAGAGGAAATCCCTTCAAAGTGAGGGAATCCTTAATTGTCACCACGGCCACCAGAACAACATCCTCATCAGAAGATTTCCCTTCCATTCTGTCTTGGCGACAATCCAAAATTTGGGATTTTATTTCACGTTCAATTTCAGTGATATTGGTGTATAGGACAGAGTGGGTGAATCTTCTGAATAAGGGGACAGAAATCCTGACGGGTGTTCAAATCCCTCACCACCAATCTAAAATAAGAAAAGTTTTGCATTTAGTTATATTTTAATTTTGGCATCAGTTATTCTTGGAAACATCTATCTCAAATAATGAAAACCTTCACCTTACTTGTTCATCGCTTTCACAAAATTTTTTAATTTTATGTGAAGCAGAGGCAAACATATCTTTGTTGGGTAAAACCAAATTTTTCTTTTGGAGTTGCCATTTCTTTTTAACTACCTGACCGCCACCCTATAGCAGATGTACTGCTACAGGGCGGCACGGCTGGGAAAAATCACACACACGTATATATATATATATATATATATATATATATATATGATTTGCATTTCCAGGTAGGGGGCCTCCCTATCCGCACTGCTAATGGCTGCTGGGGATGCAATCACCGGGTCCCATCCGGAACTCAGGGATTGTCGGCAAAGCTGACAGGAGAGAGACCTGTGTGTAAACAACACAGGTTTCTATCCTGTCAGCATGTCTCCCAAGTAAAGCAGCACACAATGTAAAACACACACAGCACACTGTTAATCCTTTGATCGCCCCAGATGATAACCCCTTCATGCTTAGTGTCATTAGTACAGTGTCAGTGCTTTTTATTAGCACTGATCACTATATTAGCGTCACTGGGGATGTCAGTGGCAGTCAGTCAGTTCCCACCCAGTGGCAGAATGACCGCCGCAGTCCCCCTATAAGTCACTTTTTTCTGCCATTACTAGTATGAATAAATAAATAAAAATTCCAGTGTATATAGTGCCATTTGTTGCAGTTCTGGGTAGGGGGCGGCCGCAATCCACGTGCACGCCCTACCTGCGCCGCTGTTTGCGGCCTCGGCTGTCAGTGACCGGGTCCCAGCCAGTGATTACTAGCCGGGACCCGATAATCGAGGAGCATTACCGACGGAGGGAGAGAACTGTAAGTAAATAATACAGTTCTCTCCCCTGTCAGCTCCTGCACACTGCTATGCATAGTTTTGCATAGTAGAGCCATGGAAAGCAGTGTGCTTACAGTGAAGCACAGACACACAGCACATAGTTAACCCTTTGATTGCCCCTGATGTTAACCCCTTGCTGCCCAGTGTCATTAGTACAGTTTCAGTGCTTTTCATTGTACTGGTGTCACTGGGGATGTCAGTGACACCAAGTCAGTTCCCCCAGTGTCAGAATGCCCAACGCAGTCCCGCTATAAGTCGCTGATAGCTGCCATTACTAGTAAAAGATATGTTTTTATAGCAAAAAGTAAAAAATTTGTTTTTTTTTTCTTTTTTCAAAATTGTCTTTTTTTGTTTATAAAAAATAAAAACTGCAGAGGTGATCAAATACCACCTAAAGCTCTGTTTGTGGGGAAAAAAATTACACAAATATAGTTTATGTACAGTGTTGCATGACTGCACAATTGTCAGTTAAAGTAACACAGTGCCATATCGCAAAAAATGGCCTGGTCAGGAAGGGGGGGGGGGGGGGGGGGGGGTAAATCCTCTGGAGGGCAAGTGGTAAATGTAATGCAACTCTCTTGCATGGCTACATTCCTAATATTCGAATATGTAACAGCATTATTGGTATAATAGAGTTGCATTCCAAGCAGCAGATCTTTAAGATCTACACATATATTCCAGTCGTATTTGGTGTACTGGATGTGCTTCAAAAATAGTTCCATGTTTTTATATGTTTCATGTGTGCATTACAGCGAACAGGTATTGCAAACTGCAAAAACAGACGATTTGTATAAAATGGTATGTGACAGGTTAAATTACAAGTTTTCTTCGTGATTAGCAGCCCATGAGATGCATCAAAAAAATGTAAGGAAGGAAGCAAGCAAAATCTTTGTTGTCCAGTTTAATCTTTGCAACATACTACAGGTGGTCAATTACTGAGGGTCTGTGAATCCGATTTCTCCCAATAAGACAACTTATTTGCAAGATACAGTCAGTGTATGTGTTTAAAAAGCTTGGTGTTACTTCAATGTGCAGTAAGACATGACCGTTAATATTTAATGTAGAATATAAATATCACCGTGCAGGTGTTATCATGATTAGTAGTATCCATCAGGTAATGAGCGCAGCCAGCAGAACTATGCTGATGCATTTGAATTCTGTGTCTCCTCAGAATGAAGAAAAGATGAGCTGGAAAATATTAAATATTAACCATGGAATACTTACACTTCATTGAAGGTTTCAACGGATGTTGATGGAGTAAACACATCCAGCAGACCTATTACCTATAGGAAAGCAAAAACATTTTTACTATGGTAACACAAAAATGGGAAAATATCACGTCATGCTCAGGTTTCGGCCCCTGGAGGATCAGCACTATATAACATAGGAAAAATATTTTTGTATAAAAACACTCATCTGCCCTAAAATAGATTCATCCTGCCTATAAATAGAGCATCTGTCCCACAATATATTCATCATATCTATAAATAGAGCATCTGTCCTAAAATAGTGAATTCATAAATAGAACAGGCCTTGACAAATCTTACCCAGAAGTAGCAGCCAGCTTTAAAAACCTAGAATCTAACCCTATGCAAACTGTAAATGAATATAGGTGATCCCAACATGAACCAGAGTTATAAATGTTCAGTAGGGCTCCATCCACAAGGATCCACCTATGCTTAAAAGATCAATCATGCTTGGCCTATCCCTTCAACAGGTAAATGTGATGCAAGAAAAAAAAATTAACCCAATATGCAATGATTCCTTGCACTGTGCATACACCCCCAGGATCTCAATCACTCTCCACTTGGCTGTATTTCAGGACCCCAAAGGAGGAGCAGATATAGTCCATGTCTAATCAGACATCTTAGATAACCATGTCTGATTGTTACAGTTTCACCTCCCTATCAGCCAGCACCACCAGTGTCTATGGCAAATCGTCTTCTAAAGTCTAAACTGGTATGTCCCATAATGTGATTTATGAGTGACCTCCTGATAAGTTTGAATGTTGTTTGCATGTCTCCAGCAAGCAGCATAGCAGGATCATCAGACACAAACCTCTGGCCTGGATGCAGCAGAGTGCTTTTACCTTTTCTTTCTGCAGCTGCTTCAAGCCTCCACTAGATGGAGACAAAGGGAAGCCAACAGATGGACTTCTGATTTATCCCAATGAAAAGTTGGTCTCATTCTTCCCCTAGACTCCTGCTCCCTTTACCATGCCTCTATGAGAGCCGATTCACATATGTGTGGTGCGGAATGGAGCTCAGGTTTCACAGATCAGGTCAGGTTTACATGAGGTTTAGGACAGGATTAGATCCTGTTCACACATGTGCGGTTTAGAAACGGTTCCCATAGAAGTCAATAGCCTGTAAATCGCACCTGAACCTGAAGGCACTGCTAAGAAATCATACAGAACTCTTTTTTCAAACTGCACTGAATCTGCACCACCAGTGCACCGGACATATGTGAACAGGCACCATAGGAAGCAATGTTATTTCGCATGTCATGCAGATTGGATGCGGTTCAAACTGCATCCAATCCGCTTATGTGAACCGGCACGGAGAACGTTCCTCCTCACTTTCTGTTTTAGGGACAATATCTTACCAGAGAGAGGAAACCTGCAATAGCGAACCCGGCAACAATAAAATCAGTGACATATGTTCTAGCATTCCCCTACTAAACCTATGGCCCCTGTACCTTTAAAACCCTCTAAACTGAAGCCCCCCCCATCCATTCGTGATGAGAGGTAGTTGTTGCTCAGACCAAATTAACCAGTGTCAAGTAAATGAAAATATTTTTATCACTACCTAGGCTTTTACTTGATACACTACTTTAATTATTGCCCTGCTCAGACTTCCAATTAAAGGTGGACAAATGGACATTTTTTTCAAACTTTAATGTTTTTAATTCCTAAACATTCTTTTTAAACTGTTAATATAAAATTATTATCTGCTGGCACTGTTAGTGACAGTTGTTTACAAACAAAGCCATGCAACAAGCATATCATAGGCGACATTGGTAGCTACAAGCTCAAGAACCACACTGTTTGATTCCAGATAGGTAGTCTGCCAGGGCAGCTGTCCGTAAAGGCACAGACCTAGAATAAGCAGTGCACTCAATGATGACTCCAAATTGAAATGTAGGATTTAGACCTCATCCATAATAGTGCGATTTCAGATGTGACTAAAGCCACACAGAATTGCATGACACTGGAAATCACATTAATTGTAAATGGTGCTTGCTCACATCAATGCAGCATAGCACGTTTTTGGAAAAGGTACATGTGCTACTTTGGTGCGATTGCAGGGCGATTGGCCCAATAGACTTCAATGCATGTAAAACATATTTTTAGTGCATTTTTGACAGAATTTTGTGTATAAAATTCAGTCTCCTTCTCCTACAAGAAAACTAATGAAGCATGAAATAGAAGGCAAAAACTGAACTGATAATCGGAGCAAGTCGAAGCTGCACTAGGGTTAACCTAGCCCAATGTTCTGCACAATATAAAAGCCCCCAATCCTACACTAAACTCCCCCCCCAAGCCTAAAAGCCTCTCCCCCCAATCCTTTTCTCTCATAATCCAAAGCCTCAAACTAAACTAGGGATGAAACAACTGATTGACAATAAAATTAGTTGTCAACTATATTCATTAATCGATTAATTAGTCAGAGATTAGTTGGCCTGCATACAGAATGCATTATTTGTTTACATATCAGGAAATACAGTGCAACACACATACAGCTCTGTATACGGTCCATACATGTCAGTAAGGGCCTGAAAACTTGTGACTGTGAGAGGAGCAATGCCTCATGGGACATGTAGTCCTGGGCAGGAGAAGGAAGTGATTTAAAGTGGTTCTAAAGGCAGAAGTTTATTTCTACCTTTCTACAGGGGCACTCCATTCTATACTTTTACTGCTTGCTAAAGGGGAACTCTGAAGGTAGGAGGAGCCAGAAGCACTGGCAGGGGGACCCCAGAAAAGAAGGATTGGGGCTGCTCTGTGCTAAACTATTACACAGAACTGGTAAGTATAACATGTTTGTACTGAAAACAAATCCAACATTTACAATCACTTTAAGGGCTCTGTGCAGGGAAGATCAGCATCTGAACCCAGAGAAGCTGAGATAGACTGGATGTAATATAAAGCATTACAATTAAAAGTAAAAGTTTACCAGTACTGTGCATTATATTTAAAATGGTATCTATGCAAAAAGATTCAGCCTTTAGTACTACTTTAATACCAAAGTTTTATATTCCCCACTGTTCATATAGCTTCATCCCCCATACCCTGTATTTCCTACTTCTGGATATATTTATTATGAATATAATATATATACACACACGTATTATTTTCACCATTTAATTGTATAAATTAAACCCTTATAGTGATTATATAATGTTTTGTACTATACTAATCTTTGTTTTTTAAGCCCATCATGACAGGTGATACAAAAACATGCTGCTGCTACTAAATGTTTTAGTGACAGCAGGCGCACATAGCTTGCATCGGGCTACATTACTATGACTAGGGACTCTGTCATGTATATTAGAATACAGTTCTGTCTAAAAATTTGCAATAGTGTTTTAGATCTTTTTACTTTTTTTTTTCTTTAAATAAAAATGTTGATGTCTGATGTGTACCATATTCAACCTCTAATCGTATATACAGTATATCTCTTCGGGCTGTTATTCTCACAATGGATTAGATATTATGTTTCCTAACCATATAGCTGGTTATTTATATTTACCACTGCATACAGATATTCAAGAACACAACTTTACATATTAACTAAAATTATACACACTTTTTTGAAGTTTTTTTCAAAATTAGCCGCCAGGGCTGCTGCCAGCAGTTGCACCACCTAACTATAGAGATGAAGATTGCGATGGCTTCCGATTGCGCAACGGATCAAATTTAAAATCCTAACACTGACGTACAAAGCTGTCCACCATACTGCCCCGAACTACATCACTGACCTAATATCCAAGTACCGCCCAGCACGCACACTCTGCTCCTCACAAGACCTCCTTCTCTCTAGTTCCCTGGTCTCCTCCTCCCATGCCCGCCTCCAGGACTTCTCCAGGGTGTCACCCATCCTCTGGAACTCCCTTCCCCAACCCATCAGATTATCACCTACTCTCCTCTCCTTTAGGCGCACCCTGAAAACCCATCTCTTCAGGGAAGCCTACCTCACCCCCTGCTAACTTGCTGACCTCCTCCACTCTTCCTACCACTCCATCCCCCACAGCTATCTCCTCCTGTACCACTATCCCATCCCTTCTAGATTGTAAGCTCGAAAGAGCAGGGCCCTCGATCCCCTCATGTTTTGCATTGTATTGGTATTGTTCTGTCACATGTTCTGTCCCCCTTTGTAATGTACAGCGCTGAGTGAACTATTGGCGCTTTATAAATACTGTATAATAATAATAATAATGAAGGAAGAACTTCTGTTCCCTGATCATCTCTATGCTATACGAAACTGAAAATGATGAGGATTTGGTCACTTCTGGTTTAGGCTGTTTGTTAACTAGTCATTGCTGGCTATTAAAGTAGACGCTCCATTAAGAGAGCCTGTCACGGCCCATGCAATCCCTTGTGATAGCAATTATGTTGAAAAAAAAATAAAAAAGGTACAGTGTTAAAACAATACATTTAAATAAAATATATATTTTTTTTAATTTTAAAGCATCCCTGTCCCTCCGTGCAAATACGAATTCACATGTAGGTCGCACATGCATATGTAAATGGTGATCACACCACACATGAGGTATCTTTGCAAATGTTAGAGTGAGAACAATAATTCCAACACCTCCTATGTAACTCTAAACTGGTAACCTAGAAAGGCTTTGAAATCTTTACCTATGGATAATTTCATGTTTTGTAGTTTGCCATCATTCCACAGTTGTGCACAATGTTAAAGCGTGAGATGTGAAGTATCTATTTACTCTGCATAACATCATCTTTTATATTTTACAAAAAATTGGGTATTATATTGTGTTTGTGTGCACTAAAATGTATTAAAGCCTATTTTTTTCTGAAACAGGTAGGTATACTTCCGCTTTAATCCTTCAAAAAAACCCCAACATGGGGTTCCATTTGGGCGCATCAGAGATGCCATCAAAAATGAATTAACCACTCGCCCTCCAGAGGATTTACCCCCCTTCCTGACCAGGCCATTTTTTGCGTTACAGCGCTGCGTTACTTTAACTGACAATTGCATGGTTATGCAACTCTGCACCCAAATTAAATTTACAGCCTTTTTTTTCCCCACGAATTGAGCTTTCTTTCGGTGGCATTTGATCGCCTGTGCATTTTTAATTGTTTGTGCTATAAAGAAAAAAAAAAAAAAAGACAATTTTGAGAAAAAAAAACAATATTTCTGACTTTTTTGCTATTAAACATGTCATGTTAAAAAAAATAAAATTTCATCATAAATTTAGGCCAAAATGTATTCTGCTACATGTCTTTGCTAAAAACAAAATCCCAACATGTGCAAATTAAATGGTTTACGTGAAAGTTTTAGCGTTAACAAATGGCAGTATAGATACTGGATTTTTTTTTTTTACTAGTAATGGCGGCAATTAGCAACTTATAGTGGGACTGCAACGGCATTCTGACACTGGGGGGGAACTAACTTGGTGTCAATGACATCCCCAGTGACACCAATGCAGTGATCAGTTCTAAAAAAAAAAAAAAGCACTGACATTGTACTAATGGCATTGGGCAGGAAGGGGTTAACATGAGGGTGATCAAAGGGTTACCTGTGTGCTGTTTTACTTGTCTGTGCTTCACTGTAATCACACTGCTTTGGATGGCGGTGCTGTGCACAGCCATCCAAACCAGTGTGCACAAGCGGACAGGGAGGAGAACTGTATTGTTTACATATGCTCGGCAATCACCGGGCCGGGACCCAGTGATTGACAGCCACGGATGGCGGCCCGGGTAGGGCGCGTGCTCCCTACTCAGAAATGCAAAATCATGTATATATACAAACACGCACACATATACATACATACACATAAATACACGTGTGATTTTGCACACCCATGTCGCCCTGTGCTGTCGGGAAGCAGTTACAATTCCAAAAAATGTAAACAAACAAGGCAGAGGATATGGGTGACTCTTTTTCACAGCAGCAATGACTGGTTGTTGTGGTGCGCTAAAATGACCAAATGACACAGTCTGCCCGCATCATAGCAATCATTGACATCACTGCTTGCTAGGCAGCTGGCTGGCCAGCACAGTCTCCATGGATTCCCCTCCCCCATACCAGGGTCAGTGTGTTGGTGGTTTTTATAATACATCTACATTTTATTCTACAAAGAGACAGTCTACTACTGATTAGAACACAAGCCTGGTGCAGGAGATGTGCACAAGCCAAGGACCGTAAAATAAGATATTTATGGATTAGCCCCACATTATAATCAGATAATATGTCAGAGATAAAACCATAAAGAGAAAAGGCTGAGGATGATTTGCAGATTTATATCTTAAAAAATGAAATTGTATCTATCCCTTATACCATTTTTTGTCAGTTTTAAAAGGGAGGCAACAACATTAAACCACTTGGAATGCAGGATCCTTGCCTTCATGAAGAGGAAACACAAGCTGGTTATATGTTAAGATGCAGTACAAGCAATTAAAAAAAAAACTATGTATGGGGCATAAACCATCACAGCAGAGAAACTTAGGAAAGCAACACTACAGGAGATCTGATGGCGTGAAAATTTATTTTATATTCACTACTGCCATCTGCAGATTCTGCTGACTGCAAAAATAAACACACAATGTGCTGAATAGTGAATGGGCTTTAAATAAACAAACCAGCGTTAGTGGTAACAATGAATAGGAGGGTACCATAAGGGCTCTTCTAAGCCCAACTTCAGTCAGTGTATTTTTAGGCTATATTTCCTATGTGTGTAAAAATTGTACTGATCTCATTACGCATGTTTCATTCTAGCACAAAACTTCCTGTATAATGATCAAATATACTTGCATAAAATTGCCTTTTTTTCCTTCTCTCTAATACCTGCATTTTGCATATATGTATGTACTCAAATGCAGATTTTTGGATTTTGTGTCACGGATCTGCCCATTTAAAAACAATGCAGCTGTGTTCAGATTGGTAAAGAAGAACGCTTGTATGCTCATGTGCGAAAAGCCTTATACTCACAGTTCTATGGTTTGGTAAATCCATATGAAAAATGCAACAGTCTTTTCCGTGGAGTTATCATACACAGTTGTGCTCAAATGTTTGCATACTCTGGCAGAAATCGTGAAATTTTGGCATTGATATTGAAAATATGACTGATCATGCCGAAAAACTGTCTTTTATTTAAGGATAGTGATCATATGAAGCCATTACTTATCACATAGTTGTTTGGCTCCTTTTTAAATAATAATGATAACAGAAATCATCCAATGGCCCGGATCAAACGTTTACATACCCTGGAATGTTTGGCCTTGGTGCAGACATACAAGGTGACAAACCCAGGTTAAAATGGCAATTAGAAGTTAATTTCCCACATTTGTGGCTTTTAAATTACAATTACCATTTGTGTATAAAGTTTCAATGAGTTTGTTAACTCATACATGGATGCACTGAGCAGGCTAGATACTGAACCATGAATGGTCAAGTTGCCAAAAAGAAGCCTTTACCGCACCAATGCCAGAAAAAATCCCGGTTATAATATACCCGACAACACCTTGACAAGCCTCACTGGGCTATTTTTGTGGCATTGGCGCAGTAAAAGCTTCTTTATGGAAACTCGACCATGCATCTCATTTGTGTTAAAGTATCTTCGTATTGTCTTCCTTGAAACAATCACATTGTCTTTTTTCCAGAGCAGCTTGTTTTTACCGGTGGGTTCTTCTTTGTATTCCGAACATTTTTTCTGGCAGTTGAGGCTGCAATCTTTTTTTGTCTACCTGACCTTGGTTCGGTATCAAGAGATCCCCGAATTTTCCACTTCTTCAATAAATGAGTGAACAGTACTGGTTGGCATATTCAAGGCTTTGGACATCTTTTTGTGTCCTTTTCCATCTTTATAACGTTCCATTATCTTGTTACCTTCTTTTCTACTCCCCATGGCTCAGTATCTATCCTGCTCACTGCATCCACGTGAGAGCTAACAAACTCATTAACTATTTATACACATATACTAATTGAAATTTAAAAAGCCACAGATCTGGGAAATTAACCATTAATTGTTATTTTAACCTGTGTGTGTCACCTTGTGTATTTGTACCGAGGCTAAACATTCCAGGGTATGTAAACTTTTGATCAGGGCCATTTGGGTGATTTCTGTTAGTATGATTTAAAAAGGAGCCAAACAAATAAGTGATAGTAAAAGGATTCATATGATCACTATTCTTAATTAAAAGTTTTAAAAATTAAAAAGTTTTTTTTGCCATGATCAGTCATATTTTCAATATTAATGCCAGAATTTCACAATTTTTGCCAGGGTATGCAAACTTTTGAGCACAACTGTATACACGCACTGTAAAACTTTTAGCATTTATTAAATCATCATAAGACCAGACTGGGGTTTTCAGGCTTTTATGTCTAATTGAATAATAAAATAATGTGTACGCATTACCCCATAAGTTTTTCATTCACATTTAGCCATCTAATAATGCCAATGGTTTTTACTTTCAGGTGTGTACACTGGAAATTATTTTAATGGAGCAGTCATCAAGAGAAGTTTCTCTTTGTTCTCAGTACAATTATTTGCCTTGATTTGTTTGCAAGAGAATTTAATTAGCATTCAAGCTTATGCCCAGTAAAACTATGGACTGCATTATGCTAGTAAAAAAAGGCATAAACACAATGTCAGCAGTGAGACTGAGACAATATAGTCAGAACAGAAAAGCTCTTACTTTACAGAAAGCTCTGAACACATGCTGGGCAACCTCATCCTTAAAAGGACCATCTCGATACAGGAAAGTACAGGAAGAGGAGGCAGATGGCTTACCAGTTACAGTTTGTGCTCATGGTTAGCATTACTGATTGCACTAGAACTGCTGTTGACTCTGGAAGAATGAAGTGTGGCACAGATGTAAATGGAGTTCTACTAAACTGTATGAGACATGTGGATACATGTACCTCAGTATGTATTAAAAGAGGTGAAGTAAACTAAAGGACCTCTGGACTAATTCTATAAAGAAGTCTGAAAAGTAAAGAGCAGTTAATCACCAGCACCAGTTAACAGTTTATCTTGCATCACTTTGGCTTTAGTAGATTAAAATTTGACTGCACATTGCACTTCTCTTCAGAAATAAAGTGTATTGAAAAAACCAGTTAAAGCGGTAGTAAACCATAAAAACTAAACAAAACTGGTACCTCTGTAGGCTCATGTCATAATGTGCTAGCATGCACCACATACTATGACATTATGACTGACTTACCCAAGAAACAGATCCCTCCAGTGATGCGCCGCTGACCACTGACAGGGATTCTATCTTCACCTGGTCTTCCTTTTCGGTTTGTTGGCTCTGGCCGTTTGAATGGCTGAGATGTGAAGCTGTCACTTCCGTCCATGTGCATGCAAGAGTCACTGTTGTGGCACAGCTCCCTCATGCAGGCCCTATGCTGTCCATTGAGAGTGCAGTGCGCCATGAAGTCAACGGCTGCTACAGATGTAAATATCTCCTAAATGACACACGTTTAGGAGATATTGACTGTACCTACAGGTAAGCCTTATTATAGATATAAAGATAAAAAAGCGGAGTTTACTACTGCTTCAATATTTTTTTTCCTCACTTCAGTCAATGTTTCTCTGTGGTTAGACAAGCACATTCCTTACAGAGTTTAGGAGAGCAATGTTTGAGTTCTGTGGCAATCTGTGCAAAGCACTCAGGTGTAATCAAAACTGCCGGCAGTACCAGACTTATGTGATGGAGTAAACGTAAACAGCCACACTCTCCTCATCAAATGGAAGTGACTTCAGAATGAAATTATTCCCGGGTCTCCCCACTCACAAGGCAGCAAGATTTTTTTTGTCCTCTGTCTTGCGGCTAGCAAAATACTGGATAAATACCATTTTGACTTTTAACTAAATATAAAATGCTTATCAGAAGTAACAGTAGAGAACCGAATATCAACATATATATTCTTTAAAGTGGGCCACGCTATTTGATAGACTGGTGATTGCGTATTATGACACAACACTGATATTAATTAGTGCATTTCATCCAAAAAAGCCACTACTTACATTTTCATGCTTCATGTGTTTGAGCAAACGCAGCTCCCGATATGTCCGCCGTGCATGGACCAGTGACTGAAACGGCCTGGATAATTTTTTTACTGCTACCTTTTGCCTTGTTTTGGTGTCATATGCAGAGCTAAAAGAAAAAAAATAAAACACAAAATATAAGTTCAATTATTCATTCAGTGAACATCAGGATGTTACACTTGTACACTGCCAGTAGCACATTCAAAGTGCAGTGTAAACTCTCAGCAACGCCCAGAACGATGTAACACCAACAAGCATGTTATATCATCAGTGGCCAGCCAACAATAGGGGACAGAAGATGCTGAATGTGGAAGAAGAGGCAAAGATGGCGGCAGCAGCAATGGGGATGGTGGAGCTGTAAGTGCTGAAAGAGGGCAAACCATTGGGCAGAGGTAAGTCTACTATAATGTGCATTCATGATATGTAAGAGCTGCTGAAGCTGCTTATCCATGCTGCCATTCTGTTTTAAAGTAAGCAACAAAGAGCAAATCCAACTAATACGTACTAAGAAGTTACAGCAACAATTTGTTTCTTTTGGAAAGGCTATTAAGCCCTGGTTAACACTGATGCAACTTGTCATGCGATTTGACCATTCAAATCTCATGACAAATCCCATCCAAAAAATGGCGATGGAACCATTCTAATCAGTGTGACTCCAATGAAGTCACACCGATTAGAAAAGTAGCTCCTGCACTACTTTTGCCGATTTGGCGTGCGACTTGCATAGACATCTGTGCATGAAGTCGCACAGATGTCTATCAAGTCGCACTGCCATCCGACTTTGAAATCGTGCGACTTCAAGTGAAGTCACACGATTTCAAAGTTGGATCCAGTGTGAACCGGGGCTTAAACCGTATGACTATAGGCAGACTGAAGTAAGCACTCCTGTCAGTATAATTGTTTATCCCAACTTCTGTAACTGTCACCTTTGATGAACAACTTTGAAAAGACTTGTGCTCTAGAGTGTTATATCATATGCAACCAGGGATGGTTGTACCTTACTTCAGATCATCCTGCATCTTTTTGCATAAGAAAAGACCTGCACTTGTACAGAAGACAATAAAACCATCTTCTGTAATGCTTATTTATAATGGCTGCCTGGGTCAGGAATTAATACACTATTACCATGACTGTAGTTACCAGCGCATCATGGTTGTAGAAAGAACAAATCATAATCACACTGCCTAGTTATACATCAGTAACTGTGCTTGTTATGACACTAACAGGTCAGGAATATACATGTGATAGGGCTGCCAATGTGCACTGATAGCTACAGTCAAGAAGAGGCTTCATGGGTGCAGTGGCTCGTACAGCGTGAATGAGCACCTTGTTAATATGTCTGGAGCTGCCTGGAGCTTTGGGCAGGCAGCCTATGTCTCCCTATGGAGGTGCAGCTGCTGTACAGACAAAACCATTTGTCCCAATGTGACAGGGGTGCAGAGGCAGGTGAGCCACCCCAAATGCTGACAGCGTATGTTCAGGGCTGGGCCATTCATTCACCCCTGCATACCTGTCATCTTAAGATGAGCGTCTGGATCTGTGCAGCAGTTGTGTCCCCATAGAGAGACATGGGCTGCCTGTAAGCAGCTCCTGGTGTTGCCAGCTGCATAAACAAGGTACTAATTCGAGCTATATGGACTACAGTGCCTATGTGAATGAACCCCAACAGGGCAATTTACCAAGACTGGAGCAGCCAAAATCTGGCTCACCTCTGTATGACAACCAATAAGCTTCTACCATTCATTTTCAAAACTTAACCAAGCTGATTGGTTACTATGCACAGCTGCTCCAACTTTAGCAATTTCCCTTCTAAGGCATCAAAGCCTTTATTTGGGATACTGTAAACACAGTCCAACTAGATACAAACATACTAACGATACCTGGTGTGCACTACACCTATGAAGACACTTGGAGGTCATTTAGAAAAAGGATGTATAAATATTTGCAACACTAGAATGAAATCAGTGTGTTATACTTTGTAAACAAAACACAATAATTTAACAAAATAAAATAATCACTGTATTGTACTGTGCGAATGATAATAATTTGACATAATAAAGTGATCCAAAGTGTGCAAAAGGAAAGTGTGAACAATCTGCAATATCAGTCTATAGTCTTTAAAAGTGAAGTCCACCAACCAGGGGCGGACTGACAACTCATGGGGCCCACGGGCAATAGGGGATCATGGGGCCCCTGTGTCCTTGCCCAAACTCAAAAAAGCCTATGAAAAAAGTACCAGGGGCATCTCATGGGGCCACCTACTGACCCCGGGCCTTCGGGCAGTGCCCGAGTTTCCAAATGGTCAGTCCGCCCCTGCCACCAACAAATAAATGTTCAATATGAAGTATGTTTCCAGTGATATCCAATTTAGGTGACACTCCCAGTGATTAACCAGTGCTGTTCCCATCACCTTAAAGCTGGCCATACATTAAAACACTTATTCAATTTACTTTAGATTTACCTTCAACTACATGGTACAAGGGCTTGATTGCATACAACTTGAAAGTGTTTAGGTTTGACCTCATATTATATTGTTTTGGTAAATCTAAAGGAAAAAAACTGTATAATGCATAGCCAGCCTTAGGTAATTAGTGCACTTACTGGACCCAATATCCCACACAGAGGTATAATTGGCTTACATAAATCCATTTCCCACTGCAGAGAGGCTGCTGGAGATGCTCATATCTCATCTTCCTGTGCTCCCTTCTGCCTGTCAGCCTCACAGACATCCAGGCGAAACACTGCTTAATTACCAAATCGGACACTGCCACTCCAACTCGCCTGTTGGTCTCCCAAATGCCATACAAAGTGAGAAAAAGCTGCAATATATTGCAGCTCTTATAAAACAGAAGACCAAACAAAACAAGAGCACTCAAATAGCCAGCAACATACACTCAGGAGAATGCCGCTGCTCACAATGAGACTTAAGTGTGTATTTGTGCGACAACTGTGTGTACTCAACTCAATGGAACTGTTGTTAATATGGTTATACACCATCATTTATAATTGTTTAATGTATGAGCTGAATGTGATTTCTGATATCCGATATCGAGGGGGGGTGGTTTATCGAGCATAGATGTGTTATATATATTTTAGAGTGGGGGTCAGCAACCAGTAGATCTCGGCCAGGTGACTGGTAGATCACGATCCTGGCTTGCTGAGCCGCCATCCCAGAGCATCAGAGTGCAATGCAGAGGGACTACATGTAAAGTTGGAGCTGTAGTAGGGAGCAAGAGCTGCATAAGCCGATGCCTCCTCTGTAGTTCCGGCTCCTGTTCCATGTGGAGTGATACCAACTGCACTCCACCTCTTATCCTGGCTAGCAGTCTCCAGAGTGGTGCCAGCAGCAGGAGAGAAGAGATCAGGTCAGTGTGAAGCAATACACTGGGCATAATAGAATAGGGCTGCATTGATGCGGATGTGTTGCGGTTTACGACACGGTACTGTGGCAATTAGAGGTTTAAATCTGTGCCCGGTGATCTTTGACTTCTCTCATGTTGTTCAGGTAGATTTCCACCTCTTTATGGTTGCCTAAACTGTTTTAGAGCATTTAGAAAATAGTAAACAAAGGCTGAATAAATGTTTAAAATGTTGAAAAGCAACCAACTGCTGTGGGGAACTGCTCCAGTTCTATAAGTTACTCTCAATTACTGTCAATATAGTAAGCCCTTTACAAACATCATCTATGCAACAAGCTTGACCAAATTTTTATTTTGTAGTACACTGTGTGAAGGTTCTCCTTTTCAGTGCAAGGACAATAAAACATATGTACACATTAATTCTATCACCTGAAAAAAGTTAGGTACATATACAGAAAATGAAGACCTAAAGCCTGCTTTTGCCATTGAGGCAGCTGATAGTTTTGACACAGGATACTATGTGGTTTAGCTGCACAAACAAAGCAGACTGAGGTTTGTAAGAACCTGACCAACCACTCACTCCACAGTCTATTACACAGATGCATTTCCTGACTCACAACAACCTACAGATACTTCTGGATAGTAGTAATATAAAAGTGCAGGGAGGATCACATCACAGACCAGGAAAACCTGTTCCAAATTCAACATCATTTTTTATAGTTCAGCTATTGACCCAAAGCTTTTACCCTGCCATTACATTAAATGAAAATGACAAGCTACCTTATAATAAATGGACTCCTTAATTACTAAATGATTAAAAAAATAACCTCTAGTTTCTAAAACAGGCCTGAGCCAATCTGAAGAATAGGGTAGTCAACACAATTAAATGCCGACTCCCAACCTTTCTGAGACATGCTCATTTTTTTTTAACCTCAAAAGATGGAACATATCACCTGGCCCTTCAACGCTGAATACACACGGGCCAAAACGGTTGATTTGGCAGAAACTGGATGACTTGAAACTGGATGACTTTTGGCCTATGTGTACAGCTGTCTGTTCTACAAAAGCTGGTCTTACTACCAGGCTTCTATTGAACAGGCATGATGGAAAACCAGCATTCGATTAGTGTGTACTGGGGAGGGGGTGTCAGTCCCCTCCTCTGAACACAAAGGCACAGCAGGGGAGATCGCTGCACTAACATCCCCTGTGTTAGTATGGTGATCTCTGGGTTGAATGAAAAATAAAAACTTCTAGTGTGTATCCAGCTTAAAAGACTCGGTTGGAATCCAGATTATGCCTCAATTATGTGGCACATAAATACCTACCAACCTTACTTACATCCAATATGTGCACAGCTGAATATGCTTCAAAGCCTGAGTTCATGATAATGGTACTTACCAGAGCTTTTTGCTACTACAGAAAAAAAAGCTGAAGAAATTTAGCATTCCTTTACCATGAAGTACAGACTGAACAATAAAGGGAGCCTAAGTGCCCTGTTATCCCTGTGTTCTCCCCTTCTGTAAGCATGTCCCTAAGGCTAAACTAATCCTTTGTGCAAAGTATTAGAGCTCAGACTGGCTCAGCCTCTGGTACTGACCCTTTCTCCCCCAGTCTAATGCCACAATGAAAAAACTGGAAGAAAAAAAGAAAAAAAAAAAACAATTTAAAAAAAAAAAAAAACACACTCAGAGCAATCGTCCAATAATCTGTTCATCAGTACACAGCTTTCAAGAGCCGATAACGCCAGTCC